TAAAAGTGTCCCCTAGAACGTCTGATCCTGGCAACAAGCGAAAGATTTGGTGAAATGAATTTAATAACGTTAAAGCAAGGTCATGCTTTCATTAATAATAGAATTGTTTAGGATTTTTCGACACAAGCAAAAAAGGCTTTAAAACAGATTGAGGCAAAACTAGAGCAAGTGGGCTGACTATTTTGGAGCTCAAAGTAAACGTAGGATAGACATAGCTAGCTATATAATTTACCCAGTTTGTTGAAAAATAATTGGGATTTTACCTGACCATGGACAGCTATTAACGTCCATTGTGTGTGTACTGAACTTTCCTGCCTCCAACAGGGACTAAAAGTCACTAAAGATGATTTCAAGCGTGACAGTAGCTTGACAAGGTGGTTCAGGTGCCATGAGAACAAAAGATCTAGCTGGAACCACCCAGTAGTAACAGCCACCTCAGACAACTGCCTGAGGTCGCCTAAGTCGGTATGATCAAGGCCATTTAAAGTCGGCGCATTTGTAGGTGTTGACATCGATTTTATCTTGAGCGAGTCAGAAAACAAGAAAGAGAATGATCCGAGAGCAGCTTCAATATCCCCAACTACCTCAGTGGCCTGCTTATCGACTTCATTCGCTTTGACTTTCATAACTTTTGAGGAAGACGGTTCTCTAACAGCATTCGACCCAAGCCGTGCCACTAAATTTGACATAAGACCGAGAAGTCTCTAAAAAATAGATAAAAAGAAAAGGATCATCAAGTTTTCAGAATGCATGGAAGTGGTTGGCTCTTGAGTATCAACTCATAAGTTAATCCGAAGAAAATGAATCAAGGCAAAGTTACAGAGAATAAACATATCAAAAGACAAAAAAATGGTTATAACCGTTATGATATTTTTATTGAAGCCCAAAGAAGCTTTAATGAAAAATAGGCTTGAAAAATTTAAATATTTATTAGAGCTATTAGTTTTTTTGGGCGAAATGTTAATCTTTGTGCAAATGATACTATGAACTATTTTTCAGGGAGTCTAAACGAGTATTTTAATTGATTTCAGAACCAAAGCAGAAAATAAAAATAGATAATAATATATAGGAAATGATTAGATCCAGGAGATAGATAAAGAAGACTGATGAGCTTCATAAACTTCATATTCCTTAATTGTAGACATGTATATTCCATTAGAGACAACAACTTTTATCTTATTTTTGCTGTCCATATAATATCAAACTAAGCCGAATATACTATTGACAGTGAAGATGAGGACTCATTACTCATGTGTGGAAACTAGATAGATTCTTTGATGTTGCTCGTGAGGGCCAAGTCAAACCAAGTATGTAATGGGAAAACAAAGAACCTAATCAAACAAGGAGCAAATATTTATTGATCAGCAAAGCAAATCGCCTAGGAGATGTGATCTGATGGCAATGGCGTCATGGAAACTATCACATCCTGATTACCGCATTATTCGGTATTTGAATTAGGGGCCAGATCCTTTGCAAAAGCAAATCATAGACACAAGAGTAGTTAAATCGAGAGACAATTTGGGATCGAAAGGGGAAAATGTATCCGTAACCAGCTTCGTTAATAAAGTAAGAAAGCAGGATGTAGATTGGTGTACGAAAGTAAAAAATGAAGTAGTAAACAACAAAAATATTTACAATACGTTGTTGATAAGTTATATTCACCAGAGGCTCTGGAGTTTACTCAAGCCAATTAATGGTAAATGAATGAACTTTCATGAGCAATGTTAGTTACTTCTAATAAGCTTACTTTTATTTTTCCACTGATGAATGTCCCGAGGGAATCATCCAATTTTGTGAAATCTATGTCAGATACCGTTGATACAAACGACTTATATGCCAGGCTGAAGCTCTCCGAGCCACTTACAACAGAAGTATTAGTATCTCTGGATAACATGGTTGTTATTTTGTCTCCTCTCACGAGATCGTTCTTAAAGGAAGACATAAAATTCCCTTGTATATATGTTTTCTGGATATATGCGCCATTCTTTTGCTCTTTTAGGTTGACCTCCAAGGGGTCTTGCGTGGTATCTGGCCAGTGAGGATCACATGAGCTTCGGCGATGCTCATCTGACTTTTCAACGACATCGGAATATAAGACACCAGTCCATTCGCGACTTTCACTATGAGAAAGACTACATTTCGGAGTGTTTGCATCAGCACCACATCGCTTTGCCATGCCTCCGAGAACCGAGACTTTCTTCTTTTCCTTTTCCATAACTTCATTCCGCATCTCCTGAATGACGGGGTCCATAGGCACTTGGAGACCAACCAAAGTCCCATCAGTATGATTAATTATGCAGCTTTTCGGCCGAATTTTAGAAATCCCAGGTGATCGTTTTTCTGCATTGTAAGCAAGTTTCGGTTGATCCCTTTTAGAAGGTATAGAAGTTGAGGAGGATACAGGCCTGGAATGATTGCATGGTGAATTCATAAGGAAAGAAACAGATTCTACCGAGTCAGGTTGCTTAATATTTTCTGGTATATTAGAGATGGAGGCGCTGAGGAGACTGTCCATAGAGCTATTGGAATCTGGATGGGAAGAAAGTCCAGGTAAGGAAGAAGAAGCGAGGCCTTTTGGACTAAAACACTGAACATCGGGTGATAATTCAGGCGAAAGTTCTATAAGGGCCTGAATAAATAGAAAAATATAAGCCTGACTTATTGTAGGGCAGAGACACTCAAGAGATGCAGATTAATAAAACAGATTTAAATTGCGCAAAATCAAGAGTGAAGCATGAAACGATTAGTATCACAAACGGTAAGAAATAGGCATTGACAACAAGCTAAAACCAATAATCTCTCAATCCTCGTCTCGCATCTTCTCTATGTCGGATGACATCATCCAAAGAATTGGGCAGCTCTAAACATGGATTATATCGAAGATTTTTCCTGAGCAAATCCTTAAGTGAGAAAACTGGAGGGTCTATTTCCTAAATTCTAGTATCCTAGAAGTGTTTACAAAGCTCACTTTCTTAAAAAGTGTATGATTTTGGGGACCGAAAACATGGTCAATAAAATTGCTATCTAATCAGTGATATCTTCAGATATTAGTGATTTTCCTCATTAATAAAATTGAGATTTTCAAGACGAATTGTAGGTAGATCAAGGGTTTGATCACTTACATAAGAAAAATAAGTAACAAAGTGTCTCAGCAAACCAATAGGCTTTATCATGGGTGTAATGTGAATTATAATAATAGCATGAAAACACGTGCTTGTGCTGTGTTAGTTAACTGTAAGTACGAAGAAAATGCGGGTTTCGAAGGACCTCCTGAGATAAGATTGTTGTGAAGACTTTCATTTCGTATGAAAGTGCATAATAAAGATATTCTTAGGCCAATCTCACTAGAAAAAGCCGGCAAATTACGGTTGTACTGTAGCCATTTAACTTAAATACAACGTGCAAGTTGATGTAGTCCACCTGATATCCTCAAGCGTTTTGGGCGAAGATGAGCTGATCTTTCGTTCGTCATATGACGAACATCGTCAGAGCATGGGCTCATTCTTGCAAAAGCCTCAAGTTAACACTGAGCCGAAGTTAAGGAATCGATTAAATAAGAAATTGAATCTGAATTGCATGAGCCTCATCGGACCAATCTCCACTTTCAATATAAACCAGAACAATGTCAAGCCCACTCGCGTCAGCACATTTGATAGATTGAACATCAGATGCAGGCGAAAATGGCAAAAGAACGTTTTGCTGCCGATTAGGTGGCCCTTAAAATTTTTACAGCCACTTTTTGAGCAATGTAAAGCATGAGTGTTGAGGATGCCTGTGAAGAAGTCAGAACTAAATTTAGCGGAACATTCCCTTCTGTGTTTAAACCATATCTGAAGTTGGTTGGCAAATGTAGAAGGATTCTTGTGACAAGCAAGGAAATCTATAGATGATGAAATAGCCGCTTTAGACAAAATTGCGCTCTTTCATCGAAATCATTTACGTCTTTTCAACTAAGAAAATTATCAATCAGCCAAGTTCCTATAAGCTTTCATGTTGATTCATTCGTAAATAATTTCCGAATTTCATTTAGTGAGCTTTCCATCAGTAGTTCTAAAGGACCAAATTAATGTCAAAATAGGATCCTGCTATCCTTTTCTGATTATAAAAACATAATGCTAGTTTTAGCAGAACAGAAACGAGTGTAAGAGTTAATCATCTATTAATAAATGAAAAAATCTCAGTTTCGTATACTCGTATGTTTTTTTATGAAGTATATTTTTTCCGGCTCTGACGATCTGTCATTTAACAAACGAAGGCTGGACACATTAGGGCCACAGAACGGTGAGCTGATGGCTACTTCGCACAATCCAGTAGCCCTTCTAATTCCTTCCTTTGGTTTTCGCTAAGAGAAATTCACAAATTCCTTCTAAAATTTGAGTCGCACTAAATCCTCAACTAAGCTTCCGATGCCCATAATTTGTCCTTTTGGATAAAATCTGCTCTAGTTAACCTGTAGTGATCATTCATTACTAGAGAATATAATATCATTTTCGGGCCATTTCCCTAACAAGTAGATTGTAAAGATGTGATAAAAGAGTGGGTTTCAAAGAATTTCCAATAGGTATAGTATCATTTATATTTCAATTCCTATAGGGAATTTACCTTTATTTTGTACATTCATCTAAAAGAATGTCTTCTCCATTTGCGATGTCTACTTTAAAACAGTCGAAAAATTAGCAAGGATTCTTCTGGATCGAACAACACCACGCTATTATTAAACTGGCAGTTACATTTCTGCTGAGACCAAAGTATGAAATCCTTTGACCCAAATTTTGACAATAAGTAAAAATCTTAATGGCATCCAAATTGCTTTCATCCCTTTCGCTAAAATAACAATAATAGTTTAGAGAATGTAGAAAATCAATCTTATTCTTAATGCCAGAAGAGCTGCCGGAGACAATGGTAGCAGATAATAGATTCTTCACACAAGTTTCCTTAAAAGCTCCGCCTGAACAAACCATCATAGTTATACAAAGTGCTTACAGATTTGGTTGTTTCTCGAGGAAAGACTAAAGAAAATGGCCTGCTCATGCGGGACCTCTTTGGTCCATCGAGCCTATCGAGCTTCTCGGGCTTTTGAGGCTTTGAGGATCCTAGGAGATCGGTCGTTGTTGTGTGGTGCTGCGTCACTTTCTGATACCGAGAGGCCGGCTGGGCGGAAGTAAAAGCTGATGTATTCGGTCTGGGAAGCGTTGTCACCGTGGTCCAGTCCTCATTTGAATCACGCTGCGACCAAAGACTAATGCCGGCGCCTTCAGCATCAAGGTCTCCTTCGTCCATGGATCCGGCCCTTAGCACTCTAGTTTGCCCTCCAGTTAAGACAGAAATTTCGCTTTTTTGTACAGTCTGGTTCACACTTTCGGGGCTGTTAATTGAAGTCTCAGCAGAATGTGCCTCAGTAGACAGTGGCGAAGACAGCAGAGGAGGCAGGTCGTAAAATATGAGATGAGAATCGTCACCATCAGCCAGGGGACTAAACGAAGATGGGCAGTATATTAATATTTTAAAAATGTCAAACATGCTCAATAAAAGTCCATTCTAGAGGCCTATCGTTCGCAAAGTTGTGTCAATGTTGCTGACTGAGATAGCAGGGTGCGCACAGTGATCCTAACAACAGATGCCAAAAGTGCTAGACTTTTACAAATAGACCAATAGATTTATGCAACCGATACTGATGGTTTTGCTGAAGCTAAGATAAACCTTATCAGATATTGGGCTCTTAAGATTACCAGATCACTTGCAGTTATCAAAGGCGCAGTACAGAGGGCCCAAGCCTTTATTAGTTTCCAATGAAGCAAGATCCACTAGCCTGATTCTGGGCCCCCCAATAATTTTGTTCTTCCCATTTTCCAAACTTGTTTACATTCCTAACAAAACTTCGACGTCATACTGTACAAGGCTTACTAAATTTTACAGTTTCAAACATAAATAAATGAAAATTATGGTGTTATATCACGCTTTAACATGTTTTATCTGGAACCTATTAGATACCACTGCATAATAAAAGCGCATCCTTATTTGACAGTTTGCCTCTAGCTAACCTAACGTTATTTGAACTTAGAGCTGGCGAGACTATCTTGTCTGGAAAGAAGTACATGTCTTTTAACTCCATATAACTGGGTGTCTATATGGCTCCAAAGGTCAAAGACTCTATCACCGCTAAGGATCTTAGTAAAATCGAGGAAGGAAAAGTTTAAATCTGAATGTAAAGTTGGATGAAAATACGGTCTTCTTATTGTCCGTTTGCCGATAAAAATAATAAAAATGGGACTCTTTTCTTCCTTTAAATGGGTGGATCTTTAGTATCACCCTTGAATACCACTTCACAGTCCTGAGGACTACCTTTTTTCCAATTATCTATCACATCTACAATTTGAATACCATTGAAACTGTAATCCAACATGGATGAATGACGATGTGAATTTTAATGCGAAACTAGTACTTCAGTTAAATTTATCCTTGCAGCGTAGTACAAATGTTGTACTTCCAATCGCGGTGTTTAGATTTTCGAATGAGTGATTTAAGAGGTAGGATGAACCATAAAGCAAATTAGTGAGAAGTATAGATTTTTTTGTCTCCTGTGAAGTCATAGAAAGAGACAAGTAACGCTTACCACCACAGTGCAGCCAATGAGAACTTGAGGCTTCCAATTGTGTTCATCCACATTGTGAGTATACGTGGTTGGCACGAAATGAGCTGAAGGAGATCGTACTCACGTTTGATCAAAAGATTGAGGATGCCGAGTCTCTTCACTTCAAATGCCTAAAAAAGGAAGTAAAAATTAATGCATAAAATCTCCCTCCATATAAAAGGTGGCTTGCCAGGAGTGTTCAGTAAAAGCCATAATTGATAAGATAAGATCAAAAAATTAATATACCTTGTTAATTTGATTAGAACCTTGTTTCTTAAATAATTTTAACTTAAAATATTGAAAGTTGATTAATTCTAGTGAAGCAGTATAGAAGTGGTCTGACCTCGTTTTCGCAACTTTATAGTGCTGTCAAGGCAACTTAGCTGGAACCATCTTGTCCGAAGTCCTCTTCTATTGTAGTTATGATAATCCCAGCATCGAACCGTGGACTTGGTACATTACCAGACGTTTCGCCGGCATCATATTCGACATCGTCAGTGAGTCTTGTGATTCTCAGCACCAAGCTACAACTCGGCAAAGAGACAAGGATAGTCGATCCCTTGACCGGCCTTCTGCCCCTTCTGTGTTATCACTCCCTAAGTCTGTAACTATCAGGCCAATTATAGTTGCTTCCCCGTGCAGACTACACTCACTGAAAACGCCTTACCTTTATTTTCTAAAAATCCTTATCCTCTTCTTCCTTGTGATTCATTTTCCTCTCACTAAAGATGTGCCAAGTCGAATATATGAAAAAAAACTGGCTTTCATAGAATGCCTTAGTGATATATTGTTACATGACTTTCCATTTCAAAGGAAAAGTTTATTGAAAGTAAGTCATAATGTGGTTTCATGAAAACCGAAGGAGGATTTTCGCGTAGGGAAGACTGCTGTATTGTGCGAAGAAGTCGTCGGCTCACTGTTTTGCGACCCGGTTGAAACTGTGCTAAGCTTTCGTTTGTATTGTGAAAGACGTGATCAGAGCAGGAATCCATACTCCATAAAATAGAGCATAAATATACAAAACCAGGAGAAAAGATGGCCTGCTGCAACCCTAGTCGCTTTTTATACACCTAACCTTACGATCTTAATGACGCATCCCATGATTTGGTTGGCTACTTCAACCCTACTATACATGCTAGCAAATGAGTGAAGTTATTTAACGAACCTGAAGTGCGCTCGGTGGCAGCTGTTTCCTTACACAAATAAACCAGGGTAAGATCCTTTAATATTGATTCATGTTTGGATTTGTGCTATTGGCTATCGTGTGTATATAACGTTAATGTCCTAACTAGACTCGAGGCGAATCCAGCCTCCTTCACTTGTTCAAAGGCTCTTCAACAAAGACCCCAAATAGTTACTACCTAATTTTTTACGCTAGTTCCTCCCATTTAGGACGTTGGCTGTTTTGTTAATTTTTATAAATTGTTAGTCAAACATGCCATCTGATCTTTATAAACTGTTGTAAAAGTTATGGTATCACTCCTAGATTTTGTCACCTTAAGAAACACTTCCATTCAGATAAAGTTAATGAGATTCTTCACCAGGCCTCAATTCAGGATAAGCTATTTAAGTCTATAGATAGTAAATCAAAGCTCTGGCGTGATTCGGCAAGGATTAGGACTCCGGAATATTTGCAAAAACTCCAGATAATGGCTGACAGGAATCCACGTAGGATATCTGACATAATGAAAAAAGACACGACAATAAATTGCTTAGGTACAGAATTACAAGG